GTGTGTGTGTGTGTGTGTGTGTGTGTGTGTGTGTGTGTGTGTGTGTGACTGAGGGGGCACTCCCACCCAATCAGAGTGAGTGAGTGTGTGTTTGTGTGAGTGTGAGGCTGAGGGGCACGCTCCCCATCCGCAGCTGTGTGTAGTTGGGTTGGGGAATCTCCTCCGTCCAGGCAGGGGTCTGTAGGGAAGTGGCTGTTGTCCCTGGCTGGAATTGTGCCCTTTGTGGGGGGTGACTCCTGCAGCGGGGAGCAATTGTGGGACTGTCCCAGGCACGGCTCACACTGTGGGGCCCATGTGCTTGCAGAGGTAGAATGGCTGGCAGATTCTGGCTGGCAGCCAGCACCCTGGCCATGATCCTGGGCATGGCAGTAACTCAGGAGAACGTGTGCCAAGCACCGCCCGGCAAAGACGGCTACCCTGGAGTACCGGGCCTCAGCGGGAGGCCAGGGCAGAAAGGCGACACAGGCGAGCCAGGTAAGGTGGGAGAGGGAAGCTGTAGCTCCCAGGGCTGAGAACACAGGGAGGGCTGGATTGTGCTGGGTATCGTCTCTACGGCACCAGTTCCAACCCAGCCTTGGCTGGCTCAGTGGAAGGGATGGAGCCAGGTGCTGGCCCAGGCTGGCTCGGGGGAGGGGAGGGAGCTGGGCGCTGGCCCAGCGGAGGGGAGGGAGTCGGGCGCTGGCCCCGGCTGGCTCGGCAGAGGGGAGGGAGTCGGGCGCTGGCCCAGGTGGCTCGGCGGAGGGGAGGGAGCCGGGCGCTGACCCAGGCTGGCTTGGCGGAGGGGAGGGAGTCGGGCGCTGGCCCAGTGCAAGGGATGGAGACAGGCTCTGGCCAACAACGCTTGGGCCCAGGTTCCGTCAACCGCGGCCTGTTCCTCTCTTCCAGGGTTACCAGGAAGAAGGTCGGGGATCCGGGGACCCAAAGGGGATGAAGGGGAACCTGGACCTCCTGGCATGCCTGGGAACCAGGGCTACAGGGGGCCAAATGGTCCCCCCGGGCTCCCAGGGCAGCCGGGACAGAAGGGAGCCAAAGGCCAGGCTGGCAATATCAAGGATCAGCACCGGCCCGCCTTCTCGGCCTCCAGGAAGAACCCCCCCGCCAGAGGGAACGTCGTGGTCTTTAACAACCTCATCACCAACCAGGACAGCGGCTACAACGCCGAGACGGGCCGGTTCACCTGCCAGGTGCCCGGCGTCTACTACTTCGTCTTCCAGGTGATCTCCAGCGGGAACCTCTGCCTCAGCCTCGTCCGCAACGAGACAAAGGAGTTGGGCGTCTGCGACAGCAACAGCCGCGGCATCCTGCAGGTGAACTCGGGGAGCGGCGTGCTCCAGCTGGCCACGTACGACCAGGTCTGGCTCGAGAGCGACCCCCGCCAAGGCAACAGGGTGTACGACGGCACCGAGGCCGACAGCGTCTTCAGCGGCTTCCTGCTCTTCCCTGAGACTTAGTGACACCCCTCAGCCAGCTACAGCAAGGCGGCCCCTGCCTCTCCGAGCCCCCACCGCTTCGCCCGCTGGCCTGCGAGAGCCCTGACGGGGGTGCACGCAGGTCCTGGGGGGGCCACAGGCCAGCCAGTGTGTGCAGACCCAGCCTTTCCTCACCCAACCGCTCGGGAGAGCGCTGCGGCTGCACACGCCCGCCTCCGTGCCACTGAGGCTGGGTGCCCGGTGTGCCAGGCAGGGGTGGGAGCCTGCTACTGAGCTTCCCAGGGCCTGTATAGAGATAATTTGTGTCCAGTTCCCCGAGTGTAGGGGATATAGCCCCTGGCCAGGCGTCACGGCCCAGATCCTGCTCCCGCAGGGCTCCCCTTGGCTTTGATGGGACCAGGATGGGGCCCTAAGTGCCTGCCCCGGGCAGCCTGTGCCATCGCAGGCTGGTTCTGGGCATTGTGGGACGAGCGCGCTCCCAGCCTGCCAAACAGACCGGGAATCCCCACCTGTCCCCTGGGCTGGCGGGGGCCTGGCCCCACTCATGGGATGGCATCTGGACTTCCCGGGTCACTCGCAGGGGGGGCCTACCTCCCAGGACCCAGTGTGGGGCTCCTCAGACGGGGGGGGGGGGGCTCCTTCCTCTGGGCCCATGGCCATGACGCCGCAGCCCAGGCCTTAGACGAGATCTGTCCGCAAAAGGCCAAAGCCTCCCACAGTGACCCTGCCCTGCTGGCACCCCTCTGCCCTGGGCCTGCATCCCTGTAACGTGCCCTTTGCTAGCGTACGGCCTTGAGAGAGCTGCCCTGGGGACCAGGATGTGGCGTGTGGCACCGAGGGGGCAGTGTCTGGGAGTATGGGGGGTAGATAGGCTGTGCCTGGCCTGGAACCCCAGCTCACGCCCTGGGAAGCATCATCTCGCCTTCCAGTCAGGTCCATTCCATCGTCAACAGCCCGCACGCTGCCTAAAGAACCATAGTGCCCACTCCAGGCAGGGTCCCCCACCTTCCCGGCCAGGCGCTGCCATTCGGCACGGACCGTGTCCCCCAGGCCGAGGAGAGCGGTCACACTCTGTGCTCCGTCCAAGCAGCAGTCGCAGACAGTGCCCCGGTCCCAGGGGCTCAGATCTTCCTGCCATGCTGGTTCTCGTCTCCCTGCCGAAGGAGATCAGTTGTCACCAGTGTCATTCCCCCGCTGTGGCCCCTGTATTCCCTGATAGGAAATCGCTGTCGGTTGTGGCTCGCGCTGTACTAACCATTGCAAATCCGGAGCTGGCTGAAGGCCACCCCTGGCTTTCACCCCCTTCCAATCAGCACAGACAAATAAACCCTTTCTTTCCCTCGCTCATTCCCATGGTTTTCTTTCTCGTTCACATCTTCCAGCAAACGGTCAGTGTCCGGGCCCCCTCGGAGCCAGGAACAGCACAGGCCCAGAGCACAACGGGCTGGCGTCTCCCAGGAAAGACCCCCGCAGGATTTGAACTCCCCAGCCTTTGCAGAGGCTGCCTTTGGCTCCAGCTCCCCCATCCCAGTGCTGTCCAGCGAGTTCAGGCTCCAAGCCATGGGGAGGCTGAGGGAGCCAACGAGGCCGGAGTGTTTCCGATCTGTCAGTACTGAGAGCGATGCCTGGGCGGGCAGCTTTCCACCCTGCACCCGGGGACAGGGACTCACCTGGCTGACCCAGATACGCTGCAGCTACATAGCAGGTGCAGCACGGGCAGCAGCCGCACGCCTCAGTCTGTCCTGAGCGGGAGGGACCCCCCAGAGCCAGTGGGCGTCCAGATTCTGTGACCCACTCGGCCCTGGGCGTCTGGGCGTGACAAGGAGCGATGGGGCCGGGAGAAGAGTCTCTGGGAGAGTGACACTTTTTTCTTCCTAAATCGGAATGAGGCCAGCAGCCCATTGGTTTGCCCAACACCCAGCACCCAGGGCCCTGATCCTAGTGCACGTGAGAAATGGGTTCACCCGGCTCGGGCCAGGCTGCAGGCTCAGTCCCAGGACTCCTGCACGGTGGGCTGCCCTGTGGCGCTCCTGGGCCCTGGATTGCGGGTGGGAAGGAGGGCTCTGCCATCACGGGAAAAGGGGGAGGGGAGACAGGCGTAATGCTGCAGGGAGCATGGGCGCTGCCCTCTGGTAGGGCCCCGGGGCATTACCCTCCCCCCACACACAGCAAGCAAAGCAGGCAGGGGCAGAGGGCATGTGCCCCTCGCAGAGGGCAGAGCTGGTACTTCAGGGAGCACGCACTGGACACTCCTGGGGGTCAGCCTGGATTCCTCCTGGGGGCTGCCTCTGCCCTTAGCACCCTGCCCACAGTGACAGAGGAAGGGAGAGGGGAAAGAGCACTGCTCACTCACACCGGGGGGCGCTGTGCTCTCCTCATGGGAACCAGCGCCTCGTCCAGGGGCCTGCGCTCCTGGAACACGATGGACAGACGGACGGACGGACGGCTCGACCAGCTCAGCCTTGAAAAAGACTTCTGTTGATGCAGCTAGTGAGCTAACACCTGGGCCCTGGGGCACTGCCCAGAGGGGTGATACCCGGGTATCGGCCATGGCGCCAGGACCCCTCCCTGGGGGCTGATTTCCGGGTATGTGCCACAGTGCCAGGACCCCTTCCTGGGGGCTGGTTCCCGGATTCCCGGTGTGTGCCACGAGCCCTTCACTGATCCAAAAACATTCTTCAGTAGAAGGAAGCAGGAGTGATGCGGGTATTGGCCGCGACCCCCCACCAATTCAATCATTTACGCTGGCACCCAGGGGGCTGAGGGGAGGGCCGGGCTGGCCAGGGTGCCCGGTGCGAGGCTGGGAACGGGCCGTGACATGTGCCAGGAGATGGGGATGACACAGACTCAGCACTAACCCTCATCCCCCCACTGATGGGCAAGTGTCGGAGGTCACAGGATTCTGAGCAGGTGCCCCGGGCACTGGGATGACATCGCGCCACTGTGGGGGAACCCCCAGCATGGTCCTCTGCGGTCCGACACTTCAGTCGCGGGGGAAGGGGAAGAAAGCGAGAAGGTGAGCGGAGGGGCAGTGCCCTGAGGGAGGTGTGCATCTGCCTCTGGATCAGCCGTGACCACTGCGCACGGCCCCTGGTCCCGCTGCTGGGCCAGGCACCCCTCGGTCTGGTCCTTCCTGCCCTGCCCCCTTGGTGGCCAGGCCCGTGGCGAGGTGGGGAGTGCTGGCGCGGCATTTAGCGCTGCCCGGCACTGTGGAAAACGCTTGCTCAGAAGAAATGCCCAGGACAGGGATGTGAAACTTGGCCAGGGTCCCGGCAAGGGGGCTGGTCTTTCCAAGAGGCCTGTCCTGGCCTCCTTCAGCCACCAACTTCCTCCTGGCTGGTGTCGCAGCCAGAGCTCTGACAAGCCAGCCAGCAGCCCCACCACAGCAGAGCCCTTCGGAGAGCGCGGGAGCCAGCGCCCGGCCCCAGAGAGGTAAGGGGCTGGTGGGGGGCAGTCGCAGAACATTGGCGAAGCGGCTAGGCCCGTGTCACTGTCCTGTGGGCCCTGTGGCCATAGGAGCTGACGTGTGGCTGTGGAAGGGCTGGCTGGTGGGCTCACAGCAGGGATACCCCAGTAGCCTGCTCCTGGCCACTGGTAGGTCACTCCGCGTAAGGGTTTTCACTAACTCTCTGCTGGACTTCTGGGTCTAAGAGCCCCTGCTAGGCTGGAGGGCAGAGCCATGGGCCAGCAGGTGCACTGGTGTGGGGCAGCCACGGTGGGCAGAGCAGGGACAGATTGCGGAAAGGCAGAGCTGCCCCCCGAGCAGCGCAGCGCCAGGGATCCTGGGAATAGGACAATGCCCTGGAGCCGGGCTGTCCCTGTGCCAGCGCCAGGGAACCCCAGAATGGACCTTCCTCCAGCAACCCAGCTGTGCTGTGGGCCGCAGCCAGCACCAGTGACAGGCAAACCAGGGCCAGGCAGCTCTGTCTATGCACCAACAGCAGGGCCATTCCTGACCTATGCTCAGAGCAGGGAGCGGGAAGGGCTGCCGGAAAGGAGAGAGGCTGCCCACGAGGGTGGGGAGGGAGACGCTGCCCTGGCTCTCTGGATGGGCTCTGGGCTCAGGCTGGCGAAGCCTGTCAGGCAGCGTTCCGGATCCATGCAGGCTGCCGAGGGGACAGGCTGTGCCCAGGAGGCGGGAGCGGGTGGGCATGGCGAGCCGAGGGAGGGTGGCTCCTGGTAAGAGCGAGGGTCAAAGTAACCCGCGGTCTGTCACTGGGTGGAGATGCTGCTGTTTGGCCTGGCAGCAAGGGGCCTCTGCTGTGCCCACGGCGACAGGGCAGGAACCCTCAACACTCTCCGCATTTCCACTCGTGGTAGGACAATGATGGTCAAGAACGTCTGGGAACCAGTGGGCCTGGGCCTAGCCCTTCTCCTCCTGGCGCTGGAGACCTCCGTGACAGGCAGTGCTTCCCACAGCTGCTATGGGACCCCTGGGCTGCCTGGCACGCCTGGCATGCCTGGCAAGGATGGCAGAGATGGGATGAAAGGAGTCAAAGGCGAACCAGGTAGGTGCCCTCTAATAGAAGCTTGTCAAGAGAGGGGGCATTGGAGAGGTGTCACCGGAGGGCTCCCCAAGGCCCATAGTGCCCAGAAGATAGAGAATTAGTGCCGGCTGTGTCCTGGGGCGGACAGGTGGGAAAGCACAGAGGGAGAGGAGAGGACACGGCCCCACGGCCTGATCCCAACACAGGGAATCAGCTGCCCTTCTCCGGCGCCTTTCCTGCAGGAGTGCAGACACAGGCCCAGTTGCCGGCTCAGCAGCAGAGCCCTGGGGGCTGGCTCAGGGATACCAACCCTTTGCAGATGTGGAGTGGGGGGGAGAGGACTTGTCCACACAGCCAGGCTAGGCTGGGGTCACGGCCGCTCAGCCACCAAGGCAGGGGGGCAGGGAGGGGCTGCCAGCTGTCCCTTCCCAATGCACTGAGCCACTGGATCCACCCTGACGGACACTCCCTGGAACCCCACAGGCATTCCGGCCATTCCTGGAACCCGAGGGCCCAAGGGGGAGGAAGGAGACCCCGGCAGCCCCGGCCTGCCAGGAAAAACTGGTCCCATGGGTCCCCCTGGCACCCGGGGAGAGCCGGGCAAGCAAGGCCAGCCTGGAGGGCCCGGCATGCCCGGCAATTACAAGCAGAAGCACCAGTCAGCCTTCTCAGTAGCGAGGCGGACCGGGCAGTACCCGGACAAGAACGCCCCTGTGGTGTTCAACCACGCCATCACCAACCTCAACCAGGACTACAACATCACCTCGGGCAAGTTCACGTGCCGCGTGCCCGGCCTCTACTACTTCATCTTCCACACCTCCCAGACTGCCAACCTCTGCGTCAACATGTACAAGAACCGGCAGAAGGTGGCCAGCTTCTGCGACCACATGTCCAACAGCAAGCAGGTCAGCTCCGGGGGCGTCCTGGTGCGCATGGACGCCGGGGACCAGCTCTGGCTGGCAGTCAACGATTACAACGGCATGGTGGGCATCGCTGGCTCCGACAGCGTCTTTTCCGGCTTCCTGCTCTTCCCAGACTAGGCAGGCCAGGCCAGCTCTGGCACGCGCCGGCTGATCCCAGCCTCTCTCTGCCCTCTAACATGCACGCTGGCTCTCTCCCTGCATCGCAGCGCCTCACAGTGGGGCACAAGGGAATGGCACGCCCGGGGCGCTCTGCACAGGGCCTCTGCTTGTATCAGCTTGGCTAGGGCTGGGGCAGGGCCTGTTGGCTGCAGTCCTGTCCCTGTCGGGCCCCCGTAGCCACCCAGACTCCAACCAAAAATTAACCGGGGCTGAGCGGTTTTTCACATGTGTTTTTGAGACAGAGTCACCAAGTGTAAGGGAGGGGGTTGTCTGGCTGCATCCCTGCCTGGCGAGAACCACGGTGGCCCCACTGTCCCCGCTCTCCCCAGCCACTCTGCGCTCTCTACACAGTACAGGGTCTGGCTGCTGCATGCAGTAACCCCCGCTGCTTCACGCTGCTCACACCCAGAGGGCCAAAGCCAGCCCTGGGTCTCCCCACTGCCCCCAGCGAGTCGCGCCAGGGACGGGCTCATCCCAGAAAATCTGGAAAGGGAACTTGGCCATGAGCTTCTGTCGAAAACGTCAATAAATCCCCACTCTGTGGCACGGGGCCTGATGTCTCATGTTCTACCCACACCGCGCAGCGTATCAGAAACCTCTGTGTGTGTGTGCACGTGTGAGTGTGTGTGCGTGTGCATGCATGTAGATGTGTGCACCTGTGTGTGTGCGAGTGTTTGTGCACCTGTGTGTGTGCGCGTGTGTGTGTACATGCGTGCAGATGTGGATGTGCGCATGTGTGTGGATGTGGATGTGTGTGTGTGTGCATGCGTGTGGATGTGTGTGTGCGTGCGTGTGGATGTGGATGTGTGTGCATGCGTGTGGATGTGGATGTGTGTGTGCTTGCGTGTGGATGTGTGTGTGCGTGGATGTGGATGTGTGTGCATACGTGTGGCTGTGTGTCTGCATGCGTGTGGATGTGTGTGTGTGTGTGTGCACCTGTGTGTGTGCGTGTGTGTGCATGCATGCACCTCTGGATGTGGATGTGCACGTGTGTGTGCATGCGTGTGGATGTGTGTGTGCGTGCGTGCGTGTGGGTGAGCGTGCATGTGGATGTGGATGTGTGTGTGTGCATGTGAGGTATTTCTATAGCACTGGTTACAGGAGCCAGGCAACGAACGCCACAAATGCCCAGCCAGGCCTCCATTGCCCGGGCGGGGTGCGCACCCCGTGGTGGGCGGCTGGGCGCAGGTGGGGAAGGGGATTTTGTTTCAGAGCAGGGCTGTGCTGGGCTCCCTCTGCCCCATGGAGTGAAGCGGGGGAGGAGGGGGCCTGTTTCCCATTCCTACCCACAGGCCCAGGCTCCATCTCCCTCTCTGGGGTCTCAGCCCTCCCAGGCAATGGGCTGGTTCAGCCCCTTCTCTAGATGGCCTCTGGGTACCAGTCTGGCTCTGACTGCAAGTTAAGCTGCCCTTCCCGTGGGGCCCTGGGGAACAGTGCCTGCCCCCTCTCCCGACCCTGGATGGATTCTCCCTCTGCTGGCACAAGGGTGCAGGTGAGTCACAGCCGTAGGGCCAAATGCATCCCGAATTGGCCTTGCCCCAGCCCAGCTCCCTGGCAAACACACACCATGCCAGTATGCCCCTGGCCTTGGCGCCTGGCACACCCTGGCCCCGGCACCCAGGCACTCCAAGGGCACAGCACACAGCCGGGCCTCATCCACACGGAAATGGCCTGGGAACTCCTGTGTCCCATTCCTCCCTCCCGGCCTTGTGGGTTGGCCCCACATTGATGTCCCGGGTCTTGGTGCCTCACCTCAAGGCTTCCGAGACTTCATGGGCGAAGCTGCTGGGCCCCCCAGCACTGCGCCGAGCCATCGTCATAAAGTGTAACTGTCCTGTTCCCGCCACGGACACAGGGATTGTCAGACGAGATTAGGATCCTTGGAGCCTCTCTGAGGCCAGCTCAGAGGCACTGAATGTCAGAAGGAGCTGGGGGATGCCATGGAGTCTAGGAGTGGGTCTGTACAGCTCCAAAGCTTCCCTTTGACGCACAGACACAAGGGGCTGATCCTTGCGCATCTCCTGCAAGGCAGACCCCCCCCCCCGCCCCAGGAGTGGTGCCCAGCGCCTGGCAGGATAGTGCCGTGTGTGAGCCAAACTGCACCAACTGCACCTGCCCCAAGCCCTCCCTTGGATGCAGGGAAGAGTCGCCCCCAGTGACTGTTCTGCTCTGGCCTCCGAGCCAAGCAGCTGGGGGAGGGACGCGGAGTCAGACCCAAGACAGGAGCCAGCGTGCAGGCAGAGACGTCCCCGTCCTGGGCCGGGCCAGGCCAAGCCTGGCAGCTCCCGTAGCCCTGAGCTGCCTGGGAGACGGTGCTGGTGACACAGCAGGAGCCCCCGAACCAGAAGCCGGCAGGAAATACGCCACTCCAAAGCCTTGGCTGCGCCCTGTGCCCTCAGCCACTGACAAAGACCCTGCAGTGCCTGCCTGGCTCTCCAGGGAGCCTACCCCTCGGGGGGTAGCTCGATCTAATCCCGGGTTTCCCATACGGCCTGGAGGAGCCGAGGAACCCCAGGTCCCAGGATGCCTGTTTGGTTACTAGCACTTGCAGAAGCACATGCCCGCGTCCACCTGGCTGTTTCAGAGACACGTCAGGCCAAAGTCCGTGTACCAGGGAACTGGCTCAGACCAGCAGAACCAGTCAGACGGGGGCAGTTTGTCCTGCTGCTCAGCCACCACCCCGGCGCAGTCTGTCTCCTGGCGACCGTCCCCGCTGCCCCCCGAGGCCACGCCGGGGCCCAGGACAGCACCGCTAGACTCTGGAGCGTGCTAGAGCAAGTGCCTGGGAGTCTGGAGACGCCCACTGAGCCCTTGAGCTAGTCACTGCACATCTCTGGGGGGGTGCCGGTCTCCCCATGTGTCCCGTGCAGATACTGCAGAGCTAGCTGCAGCTCAGCCGGGCGGCTGGACCCTGAGCACGGGTCACTCAGGGTCTGTCTGCACTGCAGTTAATACCTGCGCTGGCCCGTGCCAGCTGACGGGCTCGCAGGGCTCTGGCTAAGGGGCTGTTTAATTGTGATGAAGACGTTTGGGGAACCCCCCCCCCCATCTCACAGGGTCCTAGAGCCCACGCTGCAGCCTGAGCCCGAATGTCTAAACTGCAATTAACAGCCCCTTGCCCCAAGCCCTGTGAGCGGCTCATTGCAGTGTAGACACACCCTCAGAGGCCTAAGCCAGCCAGTGCCCATCTTTCAGCAGTCTCTCTAGTTACAATTACAGCCCAGCTCTTCTTAGTTCTCTTGCTGGAGGAGGCAAAAAACTCCCCCAGGTTCCAACACAGGGCTCCAGTGTTGTTGAATACCACGAGCTGATTGTCCGAGTGGCTAGTACCTGCCCCCATGCAAGAGGCTGGCTCAGGAATTCCTGGGCAGGGTTGAGTTCACAGAAGAATGGACACCTGAGCATTCCCTGCTGCACCCACAATAGGACCTCCCCGGGGATCTGCATGTGCCACTCGCTGGTTCAAAGCACTTACAAACTCTGCCAGTGAATCAAGCCAAATATCTGCAGAGCAGGGACTTTCCAAGGAGCCCCTTCGGCTCAAAATCCTCTTGACCGAGAGCTCCCCCTAGGGCAGGGGAGCCTATCCCACACCCATGGCCCTTCGTGACACAACAGTCACAGAAGATTAGGGTTGGAAGGAACCTTAGGAGATCATCTAGTCCAACCCCCTGCTCAAAGCAGGACCAATCCCCAGACAGATTTTTGCCCCAGATCCCTAAGTGGCCCCCTCAAGGATTGAACTCACAACCCTGGGTTTAGCAGGCCAATGCTCAAACCACTGAGCTATCCCTCCCCACTGCATGGACAGCCCAGGCCAAATCCCAGCCTGGCGTGAGCAGAACCGGCCTCAGGAGGCTGGGGAGTGCATGTGCCTGGAGCAGGGCTGAGTGTGGCCAACGAGGCAGAGACTCAGCAAGGAGCAAGGGCAGGTGGAATCGATTTTAAGAAATGTGCCTGGTGCTACCAAGCTCCAGGCCTGCTCTGGCTGGGGTTCTCTGGGATAGTCTGTACAGCGTGCAACTGGAGGAGGCGTGACTATTGCATTGACTCCAGGCATGGACAGGGCCCCACAAGCCCTCCGGCTCGCCTGTCACGCACGGGCGATCTTAGAGAGCCGAATCCTAACAGAAAGGAGCAGCCGGATGTGGTGGCTAGAGTCCCAAGGGACAGGGAATCCGGGTTCCTTTCCTCCCCACAGCACAGTCTCACTGGAACATGGCAGCCCCTCGATGGTCTGTGACCCCCAGCCCCGCCGGGCTCCTGTTCCATTAGCCGCATGCCCAGAGGCTGGGAAACGCGGGAGGGAGGGAGGGAGGGTGGGTTTTAGCGATGGGCATGAGGCTTTGCCAGGCGGTGAGTGTCTCTGTGCTGGGTGCCCAGCCCGCTGAGCAAGGAAGGCGCTCTGGCCAGGGGACAGCATCCAGCACAGTCAGGGGCCAGACGCAGAGGTGATGGGCGTGGCTGGCCCCCTTAGACCTTTGCACACACACACTCCCCAAAGGAGGCGAACCTGCAGCACTGCCATGCTGAGGAGCCAGACGGAGGTGAGTTAAACGGGGGGGTGGCACTTCCATTCGCCCCCCTGCGAGCTGCTTCTTTGCCTCAGCATCGGCTCAGGTGATTCCCTGGAACACGGGGGCTGGCTCAAGGAGGCGTGGGGGGGAGGGGGGAGTCTAGGTAGGCCGGGCAGCGCCGGGGATCCAAGGGAGCTGGCGGGCTGGCGAGGGGGGCGTTACAGCTGCTCCGGCGCCCTCACACTCACATGGACCCTTGGAAGCAGGTAAGTGCAGCCCTGGGACCTGAGCACCATCACGTCTCCCAGCCCATGTCTCGTCTGGCCCGGGCGAGTGGGTCCCAGCAGCACCAATGGGTGGGGCCAGATCCTCGCCCCACGGACACCCACTGGAGTGTTTTCTTTGACCGGGGGCGGGGGGGGCGGCTCTGTCTGCACAATG